TTAGATTATTACAAAATCAAATAAATATGCATATTTAAAAATTTTAATATTTGCAAATTAATGGAAAATTCCAAGCGAGGCGCTTTCTAGCGAGGCACTTGCCGCGCGGCAGATTAGTCATTCTCCTTCTAACTCTTTGCAAAAATGAATTTATTTTATAATTTGAATACAATATTTATTTTAGAATTATATAATTTTACAGTTTTATCATAAAACAATTTTAATCATAATTTTTTATGTACATTTGCAGCTATAATACATTTTAATCGTTTAATTTTATAGTAAATATACATGTTTGGTGTACGCCATTGCAATTATATTCTAATAGCAGGTTCAATATGGAATTACAAAAATTATAATAAATGCATTTGAATCAAATTGAGTAAACAAATTTTTAAGCAATATTTAGTTTTATATTTAAGAATTAATTAAATTATAATGAAAAAATAAACAATTTTGTTTATTTGTTCCTTTGAATATTGTCGGTTAAAACAATCTGTAATATATTTATTAAAATTAATTTTAATTAACTTTAGAATTATATACTGTACAGTATAATGAAATAACATATTTGTATTATAATTTAGATTATTAAAAAATTATTATCACAACCTACTACAATAATTTACATAACTGTAATCTCATTTTAAATTACGATTCATACATGATCTTAGTTTGCAATGTAATTGTCATTGAGTACAGCCCATAATCAAATATTATTTTTAACATATCTACACATATTATAAAACATTTCTATTTATAATCTAAAAATATTTATATTCAAAATGTAATTTAAATTTTAAAACTCACAGGCACTGTAATTATGAATAACTTATTAAGGGGTCATTTACTGAGTTGATCTAATTAGCTGCAACACATTAATTAATTTACCTTCATTTATTTATGTACGTTAAAAATAAATTGCAACTAAATTAATTCAAAATACTTACGCCTAACGAAACAAACATAAATTAAATTTTTAAAAATTGCATTTTCTGTAAGAGGCCAATGTTAGTTTAAAAATAAATCCGAGTATATTAACAATTTTGTTTAAATTATAGTGTACAGTTTGTTTGAAAAGGCACTATATCTCAAAGATTGCACAGTGTACTAGCTTTTTACTGATTAATTTTTTAACCCCACCAAATAAATGACAAATGTGGTTTATAGGATTGCGATTTTTCTTCTGCCTTTCTCTTTTTCATGATAATTATCGTAAACATAATGAACACAATCACCATAATCTCTTACTGCAAGTAATACTTTAATTAATATGCATATCAATGATATTAATTTGAACAAAATAAAATTCGAGTAATAACTCCAGCCAATTATAAGTAATTATTTTACACAGTTAATTATTAATTAATGAAATCATCATGTTTACAGTTTATTTAGTATCATTTGGAATTTGGTTTATTTGGAATAATATACAATATACAATATGTATAACTATTCACAACTATCATAAAGTGTCATTCAAACAAGTGTCTGCATCCCAAAAATAGAGTTTGTATAAATAATCAATTTTTAATAAAATGCTAAGTTAATTTTTATTATTAAAATCAAAATTCTTAATTAACAAAACACATAATAATAAAAATAATTTTTTAAATTAATGATTGATTTAATTAACCCTGAAAATACGAATAGCTGGGGTTAGTGGACAGATAGTAACGTTTGCCAATAGTACTGCTCTCATAGGGTTTTGACAGTACAGCCTGTTCTCCGATAATAGCACAGTTGGCCACACCATCCGCGCAGTCAGTGTCGCATTCGCCTGCCAGATATGCGCTATAGTCAGGGCACTGATGGGCCACACCCTTAGGGTTATTGGGGTTAATACTAGCCGCGTAAAAGTCAACTGCCCTGAAATGATTGCATGTGAGCCCTCCCTGGAAACCTACCATGTATTCGAATTAAAATTATTTACATAAGTAGTCTAGTTTTTGTAGATTTATTTAAAATAATTATGTAATGTATACCATTCATGTTGCTAAAAATACTAGTGAGCCAGCTCAAAGTACAACCAGGGTGATTTTTACCGTTATCAGGCCAAAAATCCAAGTGACCAGAGTTTTCCACTATACCAGCGCCTGTATTTAGCACAGCATCCGAGTGTATGGCGTCTACAAATTGTGCCTGAGTAAATAAATGTTTAATGCTTAATTATGATCTAGGAAACATTAAATGTTACGCACGTTTGTTGGATTAAGTTTGTCCGATGCGGGCATACCGTTAAATCCGGGGCCTATTTTGAAATGATGATTTAATAATTAAAATATTTAATTAAAAATAGTTTTATTATAAACATTAATAAAAACATACCAGCTGGATCAAGGCCAGTTATACGGCCAATCTGGCCATTAAATGCGTGGCCAACGAATCCGGATGTATGGGCTCCGAGAGAATGTCCAATGATATGTACTTTTCCTAATGATAAACCCTTCAGATTCTAAAACAATTATAATATAATAATGTTGATTAATTATATTTTAAAACAGCTTGATGCAACAATCTATTACCTGTAAAGCTCTAATAAAGTTTGTGGTAGCTTCGGCTGCGGTACGTGTATTAGCATGTGCCTGGTAAATTGATTAATATTTTGAAAAATAATTATTTTAATAAAATAAATTTGTTAATCTATTTCTACATGTTGTGCGTATATCTTGTAAATATTATATAAGATTAATTACATAATTAATTATAGTGAGCATATTTAAAAATCAAGGTAAATTGAAAAACATTTAAACATGTCAAAAACAATTTATTATATTTGTCCTTCCTTATTTTATACGTTATAAATATGTAATTTTTTAAATTGCACAATCAAAATTAATATAAAACATATCTAACATATATTACTTTTTTGACCGGTTTAAGCCCAAATGTAATTGTGCAACATATCGTATTTACTAATTGTATAAAATCGTTTAATTTTACAGGCTTAAATTGAAAATTTATACAATAACATAAAAGTACATAGTATATTCATTAGTGTAGTATATTCATTATAGGGTAGGAACACTAAATGACCATTTAACTAACAATTAAATGAAATAAGGTTTAAAATATTCAATGTAATAAAAACAACTAAAATTATACAATTACAATTATAATGTTTTAATAATTAATAACAAGATGCATGCACAACTCATTGTTTGTTAAGTTTTATAGTAATGATAAAACTATGACAAAAAACCTGATTTTTGTAGGTCAAATAACTATAAAATATAAACATACCTGGTCATAATTGCCACCATTACCGGCACTCCAGTCCACAAAAATGACATTGCAATTAGTAAAATGCAAAAACTCGTCGCGCATTGTTTTGGTCCAGATGCTTTTATCGGGGTCGTCCAAATAGCCATTGATGATGATCTTGGTGGGCAGTGAGCTATTGAAATTGGACCTGCTAATATCGGTCAGTGTA